GCCTTGCTCTTTCAATGACTTGTATAATACGAGTTTTTTTTCTCTTTAGAAACTACATTTGTGTACGGTTTGAAAAATAAAAAAAATACATCAAAATGGCGTTTGTGTCATTTTCTTCGTTGGATTTAGCACCGTTCGTACAAAATGTTTAAAGAAAAATAAGTGGAGCTGTTTTTGTAAAAATCGTCTTTTTAATATTGCCCATATTTGCAATCAAAATTGTAGGAAATTAATTAATATTTTAAAAAATGTAAATAACATTAATTAAAAAACTAACTGTAGAGAACAAATGTTATGTACTAAAAAACTCTTCTTCAATAATGTAGTTGTACGAAGGAACAAAAAATTGTTCAAACTTTTGTACTTTTCGAAAATTTAGATGTAACAGTACAAATCGGATTTAAATCACCTTATCGGATTTATCACCTTTATAAGCATCATTCTTTCGGGACATTTTTGAGATAATTTTTAAAATATTCTTAGGTTTCATATGAAATAATACCAAAATTCAAAGAAATCTTTTCGAACTTGTAAGGCCTTTGGTCGGGCCAAATCGATTCAGGAATATTCACTTTGAAAAATTCTATGAATATTTTAAGTGCCAGGAGTGTTCACGGACGGAGGAACAGACAGATACACGGCTGATATTCTGAAAACCCCAACATTTTTTCGGTATAAGAAGATGCCAAAACATAGATCCGTTGATCTAGAAAGACATTTTCATGTGATAATTCGAAAACATTTATATTTCGTTGAACTCGATTGCTTTCTACTTCAAGATGTCGGTCTGAGAAAAAATGCAATCTCGATTGTGAAAAGCCAATCGTTTACAATACGTATAGACCGAGAGAGGTGACTCAGGGCATCATCTGCTGCCACTGCAGTGCCTCTGACTGGGAGATCCTAGGTTCGAATCCCAACGGTGGGAGGATGTACGACACTAGCTACATGGCTCGGTCCAATCCAGCCGCTGTCTGGAGGAGAATGCTAGCAACCACCTGCTCTGATCGGACTATCCCATGGTTTCTCCGATCAACACTTACGCACTTACGTACACACACGTACACTTACAATATCACACTACACTATCATATACGCCGGGAGACCGGTCGGGAGCTTAGAGCTTGTCCCAGCTGGGGCGATGGACCGCTGGTGGGAGATGCCTGGTTAGGAAAAACCCCGCTAGTCGGCGGGAGATCGGCTCCGGATCTCGCAATCAAGCTGGTAAAGACAACCAACAACTCCCGAGGGAAAAACGTGCACTACTAATCATTGTACCCCGCAATCACTAATCAATGAAATTCATGTGTAAACATGTATTTCCTGTGGCTTCAATTTGCCATCTGTATCCATTCGTCTAAAAAAATACGAATTTTCATTCCAACCCTTGAAATATTCTGTTTGCATATCTTTTATTATTGATGGTGCGTTTCCCGCACTTCATTTGCTTCCGCTCAATTGCACTTGTAGGAATTTAAATTTAAGTGATTGCGCCTCATTATCTGCCTCGCATTCGTGCATTCCATATGGCGACGCCGGGCGCAGGGTTGGGGGGGGGGCGCCGCAACATTGTGGCCACGAGGGCTATGAGGAGGTGCGCGCATGTGCGGGTGGGGGTGGGGGTGGCCGCCCTCGCATTCCGGTCACGTGAGTCACCGCGCGAGCAGTCCATACAAATTCCCATACGTCTTCCGTAAAAATCTGTCAAAATGCAGAACATGAATTTGTGTCGAAATTGTCCATTCATATGAAAGAAACTACGCAAATTCACCCAATTTTTTTATTTTATTTGCCGTTTCCTGTAACAACAACGGGCTTTATTGAAAGATCAATGATTTGATTTACAATTGTTGAAATTGTTAAAATAAAACTATTTTTGTTTGTAAACAAATTTAGAAACGCTGGAAATAATTATTGAACGATCTCGAGTCATTATTTTGGTAAATTTTGTGTGGAAAATTTGGGGAAAAAATTATAAACATTTTTTAAAATTGCTTAGTCATGTGTAGTATTTTACAATAAGATATTTGTGATGAATGTTCATGCACCATCGTTCCTATATAACCTGAAAGCTATAGTTAAAATATTTGATGTTAATAAACTATTTTTGTATAATACTTTTTAATCTCTCGTATTGTACGGTATTGAGATAATTATGTAACACTTGAAAAAAGTGTCGATATTTTAAATCCTTTTACCTAAATGTAGTGTATCAAAAATAATTTTCTTGTTTACATTCACCGTGAAAATAAACATTTTAGAGTTACTTAGGTAACGGAAATGTGCGTTTACTTAAAATGTCTCTCCGTTTTATAGGCAACACAATCTCCCAAATTGTACAAAGGATTTTCACCAATATTATCTTCACATTTCAATCTTTCTGATGTCGTAGAATTTCGAACTATAAACGGATATTTTACACACTTGGTTTGAAGTTCAATGATCTTTCGAAATTGAGGCGCCTAGTGAGAAAGAGAGAGATAAATTCACAAAATACAGAAATTAGAGATACCTTCCATTCATCTTTTATTTACTTCGCAAATTACATTCATGTTTATAATCCTTTATGATTTTGTATTGATCTTTTAACATTGGTTACACATCCATTTCTTTCAATTTCCATGACACATCTGAGCTACTGTCTCGAATTGTGTAGAGATAATACAAACGCTGGCACAAAAACATGAGATGTATTAATTACATTCGTATTAAATCAATTTCAAGAAGCGCATTATTAATTCGTCTGGGCTATGCAGGGTATAATACTCGTCGGGCATCCATATATCAATCTAATGTCGGGCGTTTGTTGTGTGCCTAATAGTAATACTACCTAGGGTGATTACTTTTTTTGTCAAATATATTTACCAATTGTCTTTTGTAAATATTAAATTGTTAATATTTGTTGATAATAATTGTTAGATATACATAAAAATGTATAAAATAAAATATAATGAAATGATGTTCAACAGCCAACTAATACTGCACGGCTGAACTGGCTTTAATGATGATTTGAGACGTGGAGCATCACCTAACTTAATGCCTGATTGGAAGGGAAAAAAGGCTTCTAGACACATCTGTTTCCAACACGTCTATTTCCATCATTTATCACATTTGATCGGAGCGAAGGGGTCGATAATAAAAGTGCAATGTAAGTTATAAAAACGTTTAATTTCAGAATGTATAGAAAATTGGTCAAGGCATTTCATATTACTTTTAAAACAAATGATTATTTTGAACTCCATTCCTTGTTTATAAATGCCTTAATTTCCATGTCTTTTAATAAAATTGCATAAAATAGATAAAATGTGTGTCACACATATTACCTCCTCCATATAGAAGCATGCGAGAAATAACTCAGAAATTATGTCCGTACATCTGTACATGCAGGACATACTCGCGAGATATGTCAACAAACAATTTGCGTATACAGTGATTCAGGTTTAATAATAACACATTGATGTTGCTGTATTTGCTGATTGTGAGGTTGTAAAATGTAGTTTAAGCAATATACATAATTGTAATACTTGCAACTGGCTGCGTGTTCTGTTGTTTTTCTTTTCGTGAGTTTATTTGCATTTGGCGTGTAAATACAAGGGAATAATATCATGAAGCAACGGTGAAGAGAGGAATTTGTAAAGCAGTTAGCTTCGTATTTGATGCTCACCCATCTTGTATTTCCTGGAATTAACGGGCTGGTCATTACGATTGTTTCGGACCAAAACGTGCTGTAAAGAAAACAGAAAAACGTTCTTCCGCTCACGTGTTCGCATTTTCCATTTACTAAATTCACTAACAAGTTATCAGGTTATTTTATCACGAATAAATATGATAACAGACTTAGAAGAATGTCACTAGAATCAGTATTTTGATTTGACACATATTCGCATTGGCTGGGGAACAACGAATCAAATTCAAACCATGATATGGAACATTACAAAATAAATTAGATAATTTCACTGACAACGACTTTCATTATGTTAACTATAGGTGATACTTTCTCGTACTATTTTTAACATTCGTGGTTTTTCAAAATTCAGGGAGTTTAACGTACTGAGACACACCATATTTTAATCATCTCTGTGAAAAAAAGTAAAGGAAAATATTGGAACAGATTTGATAATTGATTTTTGTAGTTGTATTAAATTTGAACAAAATTTCGCGAAACTACTTTTTTACCAACTATCTTTTTATGAATTAATTCTAACTCTTTACAAAGTTAATTTTTTGCATTTTTCAAAAACACAGTTTGTTCACAAAAACTGGTACCAGCAACGACATTTATATCGCCTTTTGCTGCACACGAGAGGAACATCAAAGAAAACATCGAGAGCTGTTTTGATGAAATTAGTTGCTTCAAAATTTGGTATACGATCTTAAAATAAGGTCATGTATAGTTTTTCGAAAAATGAGTAATTTTTGAGTAACTTTGAATGAAATAAAGGCATTTTAAAATATGTTCCAAATATCTTTTCTCGTATGTAGCGAAGGATGATAAAAATCTTGTGCTATTTCCACTTTCAGAACTCTCTCTCTATATTTTCTAAAATTGCAAAAGTGCAATACTGTCGATAGAAAGTTTTAATTAATCTATTCTAAAAACATAGATCTTTATATACGTTCTGATACAAGTTTTTTAAAAAAATTGGTTTTCGGGTAATTTCTGCTTGACCTTAATGGAATTTATAAAAAAGTCTTCAAAACCCCAATTCTTTTCTTCATTTCTTTTTCACTCATAAATTAAAGGACACTAAGAAACTGACACAGGTCTAATTTTCGTTAAACTCTCTGAATTTTTGAAAATTGCTAAATTTAGAAGTAAGGCGAGGAATCACAAGGATTTGAGCCCTCGAGGAAGCTGAATATAGCCGAATATAACTGACTTTTCCAGTGGTGGACCATTGGTTGAACTCCATTAGGTATTTTGTGTTCGCTTTCGATGGATTACGTCAATTTGGAGCGCCGCATTGACATAAACTGTGCCTCTCCTAAATTTCGTTCACTCTGCAAGTTGTACTTGAGAATGAGTTCAAAATATGAACTTCATACTATATTAGATATTAAAGTTTTTGTTGTTTTATAAATTGATGATATATGACAGACTCATTTGTGTACTTTTAGATTAATTGAAAATAATTTAATTTCTGTGCATTACTTTTGTTACAACAAATTTTTTGGGGGATTGTGAATCTGGATACCTTGTTGGTAACAATACTACTCTACGAGTATATAAAGAAACAGTAGATGTTAGAACCGAATGTTGAACTAGAATGTATTGTTGAAATCTAATAGTTCTTTAGTATCGCAACATAAACAATTATGTTTTATCGCTCGATATTAATAAGTTATATTATATCACAATTAATTAAAATGTTGAATGTTTTCAACCTTTTTATAGTATGCAACTCGTGTTTCTTCATTTAAATTTCAAGTTCCGATCCAATTTTCCCTTCTACAGAGGAGTCCACTTTTTGTCTCTCTTTCTACCTTTGCTTCAACACCGACCTGCTCACCCCGGCCTCTTTCAAACACAGCTCAACCGACCTTGTACTAGTTCATTGCAACTGGTGAACACTTAGTTGTTTTACAATGAGGTTTAATATGTATATCTATGACAACTTGACGATTTTTTGCCATTTTCTGAATTAAGTTCTACTTTCCAGGTTTATTTAAGAATTTGTGCTGCTAGTTTTGAAAAGTTTTGTTTAAATATGAGTTTCTCCTGCGACATTAGAACTTAAGGGATTTTGGAAATTTTTCCCAAATATCTTTTTTCTTTTATTTTCTCTGTTCTTAGGCAAAGATTTATTTCATTGCAGAATAAACACCTGAAGACGAGCTTACATGCGAACTGCAGTAGATTTTTCATTAAGCTATGAATATGTGCATGTAATTCAGAGACGCTTTTGTAAGTTGATTGTTTCAAACACTCCTGTGTATACATATCCCATGTCATTTCAATAATATAAGATTCGTGTATCGAATAATATATTTACTTATATGTATTAGTTACCGTAAATCATATTATTGCCTACCATTATTAGATATTATTTGCTTAGTATTATTGCGTAAAAGAAAGTAGAATAAACAAGGCTTTAGTGATTTTATCGCACAATTTAATTACTAAGTTTTTCGATGAAAATCATTTGATTAAAATTTTTCGAAACACAACCTCTTATTTTAAGAATAATGTACAGTTTATTAGAGCAAAAAGCCAATTTTCATGGTGACTCACTAAGAAAGTAGAACATATTTTTTAATATAGTAAATCTGAAAATGGGAAATGTAACAAATTGGCTTTGTGGCGTACGACGATTTTCCCTCTCCAGCTTGTTTTCCCACATTTCAACACGTACATATTTCTCTTGTCTGCGGTCGTTTTGGAAACGTTCCTATGCCACCGAGAGTGAAAAAATATTCTGCTTTTGCAATCGCCAGCAAATGTGCTTGGCAGAGTACTACATGACACAAAATAACTCTGTAGGTCTCCCTCAGCGGAAAACGGGATCAAGCGTTTCTATTGACGTGGACGTGTCCGGAAGCTACATTTAATAATCTGCAACGAAACTCCCCAGATTGACAATCATTCCCCCGCGGAAAAAAATACTTCACTGCCAATGATATATATCTGTTTTTACGCGTGCCCAGAAAATAACCTCCAGTGAATCTCTTTTTCCCGGCAGATGAAATTGGATATCACAGGAAAATTATTAGTGATCAGTATTGATTAGAACGAGTGTTAACCTCGAAAGGATGCCTGACCGTCAATTTTGACTCCGAGCACCGCGCTTCACGACAGATATCATATTACTATTTTATTTCACCTCACAACTTCCATTTAAGATTTGCCATTTTCCTAGACCCGAGGGCCTAAAACCATTTCTCAGGCATTCATAAAAGAGGCAAAACGCCTAATGACCAGTCTTACAGGTTAATAACAGACTTTGTTGCTGTTCCAAACAGTGAGATGACACATTTCAACACCAACAGTTTAATTATTTTTCCATGAACTTTCAGATGCATTTTGAAAACATTTTATTACGTTGTTTGTAATGTTCCTTCCTTTGGTAGAAATAATTACGTCCATTCAGAAAAATGTACTAGCCACACACAAACAAGTAATGCTACAACACCACGTTCTTCCTAGCATCATTTACGATTAATTAAAATTATAATACCGCAATTTCTGTCCATATTAACCCATCTCAGCATTTACTTGTAAAACTCGTTACCTATCAAAACGCATTAGGCGCGAAAAAATTCATTTAAAAGTAACACAAATTCCACAATCTAAAACTCCATTTCAAGCACGCTGAAACACCGACAAACGATGAGAAGTGTTTCTCGGAATATCAACTAGTGTCGCGCGTTCTCTGAATTTTCGAAAATTGCAAAACTTAGAAATAATGCCAGATATAAACGACTGTTGTAGCGCCACTAGTTTCTTACAGCGTTACAATACTTTCTATATACTACTATGCGAGAAAGTAAAAATTAAACAAATAAGGAGATTTTTACTCGAAAATAATATTGTTCTTGCTATATCTGCAATAATTACGAGTACACTTCATTTGTGCGGTCTGACGGCGAGGAGAATAAAAACAACGATTCACGATCTTTTACAATCGAATAAATTTCAGAAAGCGGGACCTGCATGAATACTATATAATTCAACTGTACGGAGCAATTCAACATTTAAATGCAATAATCACACTTGTCTAACGAAGAATAAAGATGTTTCAAAAAGGCGATGCGAAAGATGGTTTCCATCATTTTAAGAGCCTCCTGGAAAGTCTGCGTCCTTACGCATGATAGTAGAATATGGAGTTTTCGCAACATGCACTTTAAATTGAAAAAATGAATACCATTTAAAATTTCTGGAGAATCGAAGTGCATTCTTAACATACCTTACCATAAATGAGTCTTTGTATGGACTCTAGGAACACACTTCAACACGTTTGTGTATGATGGAATGTCTTTGGTAGGTACCCTTCTAATGCATCGGGTTTCACTCCTTGAGAAGTATCAGTGTGGGTCTTGTATGTCAGTTTTAGAGCTAAGAGTTGGAACATCTATGGTACATTCGAAGAAGAACTGTATTCTAATATTTATATTGCATTTGTTTTATTAATTAAATTGACAATTGACAAGAGCAAAAATGGAATTTCTTTCACTAAGCAGAGTCTGCTTTGACAATGCGTTCAGGGGATTATGAAAAACAAACTATGAGATAAAATGCGCGGATATCGAATTGTTGAATGTCTGCCATATATTGTCTTCATTTAAATAGTTATTTAGTACTTCTTAACGCACAATGGTTCGTTCTAAATAGCCCTGAAACGCCCCAAATATCTTACAATATAACATCCCCTCACATCACTCCAAATATCTTACACTGCACTTAATATTCTTTTACCCTTATGCCAGCCTGCCCAGGTGCTGCCCTTTCCACCTTGGCCACGACTGCAGTATTCCGAGTAGTACATCACCGCGATTCTCTAACGATAAATTTGTTACAAATCAACGTCATTGAGCCCTCTTGATACAAATTAAACTCGTTTCAATTTTGAATATTTCAGTGCCTATCTCAACAGTTTTTCTCATTTTATATAATATGCTAATTTTTACTATAAAAAATATTATATTCAAACGCGCCAAAGATGTAGGTAAAAGAAAGAGTAATAAGTAATAATGCCGAGTAAGAAATAGTGAATTTAGGAATTTTCCTTCCAATTTAGGAAGTTATTTGTCAAAATATAACATTCACATCTCTCAAAGTTCTCTGGAAATTTAGTATTTAAAAAAATCGCGTATGTAGTCTATAACTTTGCAAACACGCAGCCATTGGACTATCGAGGTCGAGTTCCCAGTGGCTCGTGGAAACGTTCTGTGAGTTGTTTGGCGCACTGCACCACTCCGTAAAACACTCATTTGAAAATTCGGTGGTATTTTTCGCACGGTAGTCCTATCTCTCAGATTGGAAGTATATTCTACCTAGTGAGTATCGTGTTTTTTTTTCAGAGAACGGCATGCAAAAACAGCCGTGTTGACGTTGAAGTGGAATCCAAATTATAACAATTTCATCTCCGGATCCATTGTTTACATTCGGAAAAATTCAGGTAGTAAATGGTTAAATACATGAAATGTTGTCAGCTTTCTCGAAGTGCATTGCATCAAGTAGGGAAGTCCAATCAAATCAAATGCTAATAAAGCACCGGAGCGCAGTGAAGAGGGTGCGGGACGGGAGAGCGAACAGAAGGAAACGGCCCCCGAATTGATAGGTTTGCCTGCTCTGGGGGGGTTGGAGGGAGGAGAGGCAACCAGCAAAACAAAAGCCAAGCGCACAAAGCTGGTAGCTCGGCAGCTGTTAATGAGGAACTGCGAATCGCAACGAAATTTACTTTTTCCCGACGTTAACGCGTCGCGAGGCCGGCACCGCTCACTGGAATTCACGCGACGAGACCCCCTCCCCCTCTCCCTCTCGCCCCCGCCCCGCCCCGCCCCCCGGCGACGCAAAAGTTTATCGTTCGATTGGGAGGAGTGCAGAAGTCGGCGCGGAAAGAAACCGGTGACCTCGCCCGCCGGAGGTGAAAGTTTGAGAAGTGGCGGAAGGCGAAGTGAGGCCAGAAAAAAACGTCCAATGTTCGGTTCTCCAAAATCCGTTTGGGATTGAATGTTCTCCCCTTTACCATCTTGTATTTGTCCCTTGCAGTGTGTTATTTTTTCGCATTAACTTGTTGTTTTTAAATTAATACATTTCTGAATATTTTCAAAGATAAAGTAAACAAACAACTTAATATATCTAATCTAAAGGTTCGCCTACATCAAATTATTTTTACTTTAATCATTGAAAATACAAAGTACATCGTATTTCAGGCTTAAAATTTACCCGCAGTTGTGTAGAAAAACATTGCCTTGACTAGGAAAATACTTGACTAAAACAAATGAATGCGCATGAATAAAATTAGAAGGGCCACCAAAATAATGTTTCAATCATATTTCTTCGACATAATGTTTGGATATGTGTACTAGTTAACATGA